CAGGAAGGGCCTAGGATGGGTGCTCATTTGTTTTGCTATATGCCCTGATGGATTGCTCCTTTGGGGGCTCTGAACCGTTTACTCATTTCAGGTGTCATAACAGCTCTATGAGGAGGGCTCTGCTCTTATCCCTACTTTAGAGATTAGGAAATGAGGCACAGAGAGGTTAACCGACTTGCTCAACGGCACACAGCTAAGAAGAGGTAGAGCTGGGATTTGAACCCAGGCAGCCTGACTGCAGAGGCCATTTTAGGATTACCATGGCTCACTGAGCAACATTTGCATGGGTTTCTGGTATCGATTCTGAACCATAAGGCAAAGCAAGGCCGCACAGCCCATAGGCTCTTAAATCTAGAGGGAGACAGTGCAAAGACTAACCATATTTGAGGGTTGCTGTAATGCTTGGGGATCCACGCAGATGCCTGTTTCAGGACCTGGCTGTTGCTCCCCAACTTCCCTCTCATATGCACTGCTGTGTTTGCAGGCTGCCCCCGGCCCAGGCTAGCCCCAGCTGCTGGCACACTAATAGCCCATTGTCCAGGAGGGAACACTGAGGCTCACTGTGACTTGCTCAAAGCCACAAAGTTAATAAATAGTGGAGCTTGAAGTAAAACCCTCAGCTTCTGCCCCTTGCTTCATTTGATTCTTTGCAGAACTCTGAAGGGGATTCGCCGGGAACTGCGGTCACCTTCATGGGAAAACTAAGACCAAGGTCACAGGATAAGTATGACAGTCCAGCCTCCTAACTACTGAGAGGGCCCTCTTCCACGTCCTGCTCCCACCATTGTTCTGTGTCTGTTGCCAGCCATTTCGTCTCTCCATTTCTGGAAGGCGGAAGCACACCTTAGCCTGCTGAAACCTGCTCTGTGTCGAGTCCAGTCCAGGATGGCCTAAAAAACACTAGGTCCCAGAGGGACAAAGTCAAGTCTTAGCTGCCGCTACCTTAGGGCTTGAGATGTCCAGAGAGCCACCTCCGCCGCCTGCCCCTCTCGCCACGTCTGCTAAGCCAGTTCTACCCTCCTGGGAGGATGGTTGGCCTCGTCATCAAGGAGGGGCCAGGATGTGGGTGGATGGCGCTAAGTTCTAAGGGAGGCGGCACCCAGCAAGGCCAGGAGCGGAGATCTCGGGGGCAGCAGTCCCTAACACGGGTCAGTGTTGCCCCAGGTACTGTGAGCCTGGCATCCATCCGGGCCGTGGGCTCTGCAGAGCACTGAGATGTCCGCTGCCCTCAGAGGCGGGGACCCGAGGATCACTTGTCCCTGAGGCTGGCAGGACACTGGCTGTGGTCAGAGGGGCTGCTGGGGTCCAACTACAGTCCTAAATCCCAGGCCCTGCCCCCCATGCACCCTTTCCCAATCCCCGTTTTGCAATCAGTCAGCCTGACCCAGTAAACATCCAGGGCCAGAGCAGAACCCCTTTTCCTGACCCTTTTCTATGTGTTTCGGAGAAGAGCCGGGGGCATGGGAGAAGGAGCTGCCCCAGCCGTCGGACAGGAGGCCAGGAGAGGGCCTCTGGGTGCCAGTTGGGCAGCGCAAGCACCGGCCACCTTGCCAAACCTTCCAGACGTGCCTCACGCTCAGGGAAGAAAGGGCATCCGCGGAGAGGAAAGTGGACAGCATTCCATCACCGTGGTTTTACGTGGAAGAGCAGGCGGGAGGGGTGGTTGTATGGGTTGTATGTCAAAATTCAGAGAAAGGTTTCACACTGCCTCCTGCTTGCTGTGCAACCCTTGGCAAGTCTCTAAGCGTCTCTGAACCATTTGCCCTTCAGGAAGGTGGAAGAAATCCCGGGCCTTCTCCGGCTTCATGGGTTAATGATTCTTTACGAGGAGTCCACTGAGCCGTCTGCCTCACCAAGAGGCCAGTCGTCTCTCGCTTTATTCCCATGAGAGTTCTGTGGGGCATACAAGGAGTCCTGGATCTTCCTCACACAGCAGCTGAAAAAGCTGAGGCACGGACAGGTTTACTCCCTCCACCAAATGCTTGATAAGCAGCTAAGGTCTGTGCTCAGGAGATGGGAGACTTTGGGGGAGCCTAAGGGACCAGACCCAGCTCTGAACGCTCCTGCCTTCCAGCATCCGTGAGCTCTGAAGAGAAGAGAAATATGGCTAAGCCCAGCTGGAATCCATCCGTGCCACCGGCGGGCCCCGGACACCTTCCCCGTATCTACCCAAGCGCTTGGACGGCTCTAATGCAGCGATGCCTTGTCCTCCTAGAGGCTTCTCAAATGCTCGCTGCATGCACGTGTGCGCAGGAAGTGCAACACGGGGCCATGCGGGAAGGGCGTTCTAGGTGAAGGAAACTAAGTCAACCAAGGGATGGAGGTGGGAAAGCCAGAGCTGGCCCTGCAGCCTTCCCCAGCACCTCTCCATAAGGCTCTCGGGCCCCTTTCCCTGACCCACTCTGTGCTATTGCCTTACATCAGAGACGCGGCCAAGGAAAAGCGGAGATGGAAGTAAGATGGGTCAGGGCCTCTGCAGAGTAAAGGAACTACACCCTGTGGCTGACGGCTGCCTCCCTTGCCCTGTGCCCGTCTTTCTTCTTTGGCCCTGAGAAGGAGGGATAGATCTAGAATTTCTGGATATTGATCTAGAAGTTTCTATGAGCCTGATACCAAGGAATTTACATACTTATGACATTACTTTTTTTTTCCCCTAAAGCGTCACTGAGGTTGGCAGGACTTTTTAAAAAATGATTATTGTTATTAATATAAAAGTGACACATGGTGGATTTAAAAATTCTAATCAGCCAATGAATAAAATGCCAAGTTAAAGAAAGAAAGTGTGTTCTCCTGGCTTCTGGCCCCTGACATGGGCCTCCCTGTCCCCAGCACCAACTCCCACTCACCCCCACGAGGGAAGGACCGGGATAGTCCCTAACCCGTACCATGTCCCCAGGTCCTCCATCCACAGAGCAAGCAGCCCGCTCCCGGCAACCAGCAGAGCTGGCAACCAGCAGAGCCGAGCCTCTCTTGTTCCAACAGGGAGTCTCAACCCATTAGCGAGTCGGGAAACCATTTCAGTGGTTGATGATTAGCAATGCTCTACATAAAATAGGAGATAAGAGAAAGCATCAAGACGGCACTATTCGAACTCAGCTATAGCTTTGGCCCAAGGGGGAAACTGAGGCCCAGAGAACAAAAAGGACACCCCAAGGTCAGACAGCAAATTCTATCTGGGTATCTGGGTCAAGATTGCACATCCATTCAGGCGGCATTTATCACACACCTACTATGTTGTTCCTGACATCAGGGAGGCTTTGGTTCAAATAACCATGTATGCATCAAGAATAATTAACCCTAAATAATATTGTATCAACTCTAAAAAATGCACAAAGTGTCTAACACGCCAGGTGAGATCAGTCAGACAGAGAAAGACAAGTACTGTACGATCTCACGTCTGCATGGAAACTAAAACAAATGAACTCGGGGGCACTCGGGTGGCTCAGTTGGTTAGCGGTCTGCCTTCGGCTCAGGTCATGATCTCAGGGTCCTGGGATCGAGCCCTTGCATTGGGGTCCTTGCTCTGTGGGAAATCTGCTTCTCCCTCTCCCTCTGCCCCTCCTCCCTGCTTATGCTCTCTCTCTCATTCAAAAAAATACAATCTTTTTGTAAGTAAGTAAATAAATAAATAAAACAAATGAACTCACAGGTTAATGGTTGCCAGAGTGGGGAGGTGGGGGAAAGGGGTGAAGGTGAGCAAAAGTTAGGAGAGGCATGTGTTGAGGGGACCGTGATCATGGCCAACAGCACTGCATTGTATGCTTGAAAGGTGCTGAGGGTGTAAATCTTCAAAGTTCTTACCAAAAAAAAGGTAATTATGTGAGATGATGAATGTAGGTAACTAACCTCGTTGTGGTAATTTTTCCCACATCAGACTGGTTCATCTTACGCTTATACAAGGTTAGATGCCAATTACCTCTCTGTAAAGTTGGGAGAAAAGTTTTGGTTTTTTTTTTTAAGATTTTATTTATTTATTTGACAGAGAGAGAACACAAGCAGGAGGAACAGCAGAGGGAGAGGGAGAAAGCAGGCTTCCCGCTGAGCAGGGAGCCTGATGTGGGGCTCCATCCCAGGACCGTGGGATCATGACCTGAGCCAAAAGCAGACATCTGCTTAATGGACAGAGCTCCCCAGGCACCCCAAGAGGAAAAATATTTTTGAAGAGAGAGAGAAAGTTTCTGCTGGAAACCAAGAAAATTGAACATCTCCAGGCAACAGATGTGGTCGGCCTCACCAGATGCTGTCAAGTGCCTTGACCCATTTTTCCTGGGTAACATGGTCCCTATTCAAACAAACTATTGAATCCTCCCAACTCTAAGACTCACTTTTCTTGTTCAAATTCTAACATTGAGGAAATCAGGACACCCCTCACTATCAGCATTTGTCCCCACCACACACCAACCTTGCCAACAGATAAATAAATAAAGGCTCTTACTAAATCATTACAGCATCTTACAGTCAATGGACGGGGGGGTCGGGGATAGGTTGTCATGACGACAAGGGGAGGAAGGCACCGGAAAAGAGGAGGTCGTCAGGCATGGACTGTGGACCAAGATTTGTGCTGAAAGTGTCATACATTATCTCATCAAACATCAGGAGCGGTGGGGTGGGGAGGTGTCGTTTATAAGGGAAGGAGAGACATTCTTCCAGTTTAGTATGATAAAGGACCAGAGCCTTATTCCTAAAAAGCAACAGTCTCTCCAGCTGGAAAACAGGAAAAACCAAGTTTATTTCTGTTGACTTTGCACATCCCAAGAGCCCCTCCCCCTCCCAAACATCACCGAAGAAATGACAGTCTGACCAAATTCAGTGTTTTCTCAGAATTTGTAAAAGGCTTTTTAAAAAAAACAAAAAATTATTTATTTATTTATTTGACAGACAGAGATCACAAATAGGCAGAGAGGCAGACAGAGAGAGAGAGGGGAAGCAGGCTCCCCGCTGAGCAGAGAGCCCAATGCAGGGCTCGATCCCAGAACACTGGGATCGTGACCTGAGCCGAAGGCAGAGACTTAACCCACTGAGCCACCCAGGCACTCCTATAAAAAACTTTTAACATATATAAACACAGCAAATGCTTCCCCATTATGAGTGTTTACAACAACTAGGAGACTGATTTTTTACATAGGTATGAGACACAGCACCTGGTTTTCTGAGATGATTCTTTCCAAAGTTTTGGCTCCCCTCTGCTTGACTGACCAAGCTACACGAGGACTTGCTGCTGAGCTGGGTTTGCGCAAATCTCAAATCTCTGAATAACAGGTCTTCTGGACTTTGAGGACCTGCAAAGAGAGCAGAGATTCAGGCAAATAGACTGGATTTGTTTTGCTAATTTGTACTTGCTTGCTATAAAATATAGCTTTGCGAATGACACACGAATCTTGGATTTTCCCTTCCTTCCTTCCTTCCTTCCTTCCTTCCTTCCTCCCTCCCTCCCTCCCTCCTTTCCTTCCTTTCTTTCTTTTAATAGGTGTGGCCGATTCCAGCCATAGGGAACAGGAAATGCAGCCTAAACCTTTACCCCCTTTAGAGCCAGAAATAATGGTGAAACCAAGATCAAGGGTGAAACCAAGATCAAGAGTGAAACCAGACTTGCCTTGCCCTTCACCAGGATCAAAAGCCCCTCAAGGACATGTCCTTGGCAGTTTTCCTTTCTTTTCCCTACTTCCAGGGGGCTGCATTTCCCTCCTTACCTTGGAGGTGCACCTTTTGATCATTATCAAGCCATCCGTCAGCAGCCACTCTAGCTGGCCCGGAGCTACCCCTCCCCAGAGGGCCCATCTCTCCCTCTGCAGCCACGCCAAGATCCTGCTGGAGACACAGGCTGTCACGCGGAGCTGCAGTGAGGGACCAGCGACCTCAGGAACTGGCTGGGGCAGCTCAGTTTTCCCAGACAGCACATCGATGAGCACACAGAGGGCTGGGTCCCACAGCACCTTCCCACAAAGGCTCCCGGAGCCGGATCCTATCTGCCATCTCCCAGTGAAGCAATCCACGTAATTAGCCGCATTAATACCAGGGCTGTCTGAGGCCGCCTGTCTCAACCCCGGATCTGGGCGCCTGCTGCAATGAACGCTTTAATGATTATCAGCTCCCTTCTAGCCAGCTGAGGGTAGAAAAATGGGGTCTCACTCTGGGATGGCTGCCTAGCACCCTACTGTCCAGAACAGGTTTTTCTAGAAAGCAGACCCCTATGAGCCAAAAGAGCAGTGTTTGGACATGGAAGCCAGGGATTCCGGACCTTGCTTTGGCTCTGGACATTTTCTGTTAACCAACCTTTTCGAGACATTTTTTATGGGCAAAGCCCTCTAGGGGTTATTGAACTACTCTAAGGAAGGTCCTCTGATTGGTTCAATGTCCTATGGTTTCACAAAATAAGACCCATGTATGGGAAAAGACAAATGGGGTGGGTGAGGAACAGGGCTGATGTCTACACTGACTGAGCAAGGAGGGAACCGCTGTCCCTGAAATGAATCATGATCGCTACTTTCAAGGCTCAGTTCTTTGAAGCAGAACCAGGACAAGAACGCTTGAAGAATGCGCTGTGTGGCCTGAAGTGACTTGCTTGATCTCTCTGATACTTCCATCCTGATAACCCCAGGACTACTAAGTCACTACCCTGATTATTCTGCCGGCTTCTGGGCAGGTGGGTTTGCCTCCAGAGACCGGAGGGCAGCCAGGCTCACAGGGCTCTTCCAGAATGATGCTGACAATGGTGCCCACAGCCACTGGGCACTGGGGAGGAGGGTGACTGGTCCCCCACTGGGGACAAAGGGGGCAGGGGGATTACAGGCAATGAGGGACCTTGAAGGGCAGAAAGGGAGTAGGCAGAATTAGGGTTTTTTTAGGTCTAAGAAACAGAAAAGGCTCAGACATGGAGAAACAGGCAGGGGAAGTTTAGGGAAGAGTAAGAAAATTAAAGAGACCCTCATCCCTGTGGCTCTGCCTCGCCAAACCCCCAGAACCTTCCTTTTCAGAATTGTCCACTTCCTATGGAGACTACATTGCTCAGCTGTAGTGCCCAGTCTCTCACGGGGGTCCCAGGCCCATTCCCAAGAGGATAGCAGACATGGGGCATGGATGAGCACATGGGTTGAGGTCAAGCCAGGAAAGATTTGCCAGACGCCCCGTCATGCGTGTCTCTCCCAGCGGTCCCCATCTCCCCTCGACGCTCTCTCTTTCAAAGCCCATTCCAAATGCAACCCCCGGCATTCCCCCACCCCCCATTGCAGCATGGGGGAGTGGCTCTGCGTTCAAATCCAACCTCTGCCATTTAGGACCGTATGCTACTCAGTTTCCCAGACTGTCAAATGGGGAGTATCACAAAGGCTCATTGTGAGAAGTCAGTCTAACACATATACCATCTCTAAAATAGCACCCAACGCCTCGTGAGTACTGCATCAGTGTTAGCAATGCCTAATTACCATGTTTTGTCTCCCTTTATTCCCTCCTCTGGGAATCACTGTGTATCAACATTGGCATAACGCCTTGTCCAGGAGGTGCCAGAAAAGATGGGCTAAGTCATTGATGAGACTTGAGTTGGAAAGCCAGAGGGAGCATGGCCTAGAGGTTCGTGGGTGGGTTCCGAAGTCCCACAGCCCGTGGGTGAATTCCAGACCTGCTACTCACAAAGGGTGACTTTGGCAAGTTATCTAGTCTCAGTTCCTTTATCTGTAAAATGGAGATTAAAATAGCTCCCACCCAAAAGGATTCTTGTGCAGATCAGCAAGGTAAGGCCACAAAGACTGCATCAGAACACAGGGGCTGGGAAGCAGTGCAGGCCCTACCGCTCTGCTCGTACAGCCACTGGCCCTCCGAGGGGCCAGCGCCTCGGGCTAGAGCTACCGGGCACAAAATGAAGAAAGGGACCGGTCTTGGAGTCCTCTTCGTCTGCTCCCCCTCCCACATCAAAACACAACTCTCCTTACCTTAGTCAGTCAGGTAGCTGTGGGAGGGGTAGCCTTAGTGCACAGAGGACAAAAGTCCTTACTCTGCCAAGTACTATGTGTGTGGCCTTGGGCAGGTCACCGCAGATCCTCAAACCACAGGTGCTGGTAAAACACCACACCAATTAAGTCATTCACATCATTAGACTACCTGGGCCTTCCCCAAAGGAAACAGCCAGAGAAGCTCCTTAAGCGTTGGTCCCTACACAAACATTTATTGATCACTGGGCTATATGTTGAAGATGCGGTGCTGTGCATGGGGTAGGGAGTCTTCTAGAAGTTTCCAATCTCCTCCGAGTGGCAGAGGCTCAGACAGAAAGCTCCACTAAAGGTGTCGAGAGGCTACCATGCACTGAGCGCTCACTGCAGAAGGCACTAGGCAAAGACCTACTCAGACATGCCTCTTTTCACCTTGTACATCTCTATACTGTAAGTACGATGGCTGCTATAGCCATTTCACAGCTGCAGACACTGAGGCTCAGAGAGGTTACATACCGTTCACAGAGTCACACAGCTAGTCAGCTGCTCCGAGTGGGGAGCACAGAGGAGGACCCTAGCAGGAGCAGAGGGTTTGTCAGAAGAGAAAGCTTCCTGGAGGACGTGGAGTCTGCATCTTGGAACATAAGGAGTCAGCAAAGGGGCAGGGAACACAGCTATCGCCAACTGGGAACCACCTTAGACTGCTAGGTAACAGAAAACACCCTTTTTGACCTCTGTTACACATGGGGTCCACTTGCTAGGAGTTAGCCTACCCTAACCAACACACTCCATTTTATAAAGGTAGCAAGTGACACATTGAGAGGTCAAGACATCTGCTCAATGTCACAAAGATAATATGTGGGACTCAGGGATTCAAACCCACTGATTCCAAAGCCTGGGCTCAAAATCATTCTTATGACTTGCTTTTTAGACAGGTTTATTGAGGTATTATTCACAGCAATAAAACAGATCCTTTTAAGAGTGAAGTTTCATGACTTTTGACGAATGCAGTCATGGACCCCTCTGCACAACCAAGACCTAGAACATTTCTGTCATCCTCCAAAAGATCTCCTGTGCTTTTTGGCAGTGAACTCCTGTGTTTCCCCTTGCCCAAGCCCCTGGCAACCACTGACCTGACTTCTGTATCCATATTTTTGAGATCACATAGTATGTATATATGGCCTTTTAGGTCTGGCTTCTTTCACTAAGCATAACAATTTTTTTTTTTTTTTAAGAGAGAGAAAGAGAGCATAGCATGAGCAGGGGGAGAGGCAGAGGAAGAGGGAGAGAGAGAATCCTTAAGCAGACTCCTTCCTGAGTGTGGAGCCTGATGCAGGGCTCCATCCCAGGACCCTGAGATCGTGACCTGAGTAGAAATCAAGTCAGCCGTTTAACAGACTGAGCCACCCAGGAACCCCACCAAGCACAAGGATTTTAAGATTCACCCACGTTTTTGCAAATATCAGTACTTTATTCTTTCCTGAGTAGTATTCCAATGCACGGAGGTACCACTATTTATTTGTCCTTTCATTAGCTGATGAACACCTGGGTTGTTTCCAGGTTGGGGCTATTACAAGTAAAGTTGCTATAAACATTCACACACAGATCTATGTATAGACTCATGTTCTCATTTCTCTAGGGATTGATGAGTTATATGGAAAGTACAGGTTTAATTCACAAAATACTGCAACCATTTTCCAAAGAGGTCTCCCAGATTTTTATGAAAATGGCAGCAAAAGTGGAAACGAAAACCTTTGTCTCTACCAAAATCCTAATACAAAGAAAAGGCTTCGAAGACAAGGAAGACAGTGCTGACAGGTGTCTACGGCCACCAAAACAGTGAAGATCCACACACATCACCTACTTTCAGCCCGGGATGCTGTGGCTCCAGAAGCCATACAAGCAATCTTACAAGAGCATCCCTAGGAGAAACAAGCCTGACCATGATGCCACCATCAAATACTCCCAACCATGAAGTTGGCCATGATGATCAAGTCATACTGGTGTTCCTCATGGACACCAAAGCCAACAAGCACCAGATCAAACAGGCTCTGAAGAAACTCTGGGACCCTGATTGGCCAAAGCCACTACTTTAACCAGGCGTCATGGCGAGAAGGCACCTATTTGAGCCCTAACTACTAAATACTTTGAGTGTTGCCAAAAAATTGGGATTACCTACACTGAGCCCAGCTGGCTAATTCTAAATATAATAACCTTTTTTTAATCATCTTAAAACAAAGCAGTTATCCCATTTTGTCTTCTCTCCAGCAATGTGCGTGAGTTCCAGTCCCTCTGAACCCTCAGCAGTAGTCGTCATTATCAGTCTTTTTAATTTTCACCATTCCAGTGGCTATGTACTGGTGTTCAACTGTGGGTTTTATTTTAACTTTTTATTTATTTATTTATTTGACACGGAGAGAGAACACAAGCAGGGGGAGCAGCAGAGGTAGAGGGAGAAGCAGGCCCCCTACTGAGTAGGGAGCCCATTGTAGGGCTTGATCTCAGGACCTTGGGATCACGACCTAGACTGAAGGTAGACCCTAAACTAACTGAGCCATCCAGGCGCCCCCACTGTGGTTTTAATTTACATTTTTCCGATGACTAATAATACCAAGCATCTTTTCACAGACTTATTGTTGGCCATTCATATATATTCTTTGGTAAAGTGTTTATTAAAAAAATCTTTTGGGGTCACCTGGGTGGCTCAGTGGTTTAAGCCTGTGCCTTCCACTCAGGCCATGATCTCAGGGTCTTGGGATCGAGCCCCACATCGGGCTCTCTGCTCACCAGGGAGCCTTCTTCTTCCTCTCTCTCTCTCTATCTCTCTGCCTACTTGTGATCTCTCTCTCTGTCAAATAAATAAATAAAATCTTTAAAAAAAAATCTTTAAAAAATTCTTTTGACCATTTCTTACTTGAATTGTTTCTCTTATGAATATTTTCTCCCTACTTGTGGCTTGTCATCTTACTTCCTTAACAGTGTCTCCCAAAAAGTGTTAAGTTTTCATTTTGATCAAGTAAAATTGAGCATTTTTGTTCTTTTGTGGTTTGAGTTTTTTTTATGCTGTCATTTTGTCTTTTAATTATTTAAAATTGTGTTTATGCCTCACCTAGAGAGAGCCTTCTTTGCAGGATGACACTGGGAAGTGGATTTGCAGAAATCACCGGGTGATTTTCGAAGGTTACATTTACACATCACAATTACTTTGTGGGGGGAAGGGTCTTGGCTTTTCATGTGGAGTGTTGTGGCTTTTTGAAATTTTTGTTTATGACAAGGGCCACCAAATGAGAAAGAAAAAAATTAAGGTGATTTGAAAAGGCAGCTCAGAAGTCTTGTGAGCCCGAGACTCTCTTGGCAGAAGCCCAATGCAAAAAATAACAGAGGAAGGAGTCTTGCCAAATGAGTAGAAGAATGTGACAGACAAGACCCATGGGACCGACACAGGCATCTTAAACCTGTGGACAGGCCAACCCCCAAACCTGGGCTTGTCCGGGAGAAAACTATTCGACTGCTTAGCCGGACTCCCACAAGGACCCATTTATTGCCTCCCATGTTTGGGCAGACTTTAATAACCAAAGCACAAGGCTTCTTGCAAACAGCCCATCCTTCCCCCTGTGGTTACAACCAGCCAGGTAATTCTGGAACAATCTGACTCCCAACTTACCAGGAAGGGACGAGAGTAGACAGCATATTTTCCATGGCTTTCTCCATGTCCCGGCGGCCCTGGAGCTCACTGGTGCCAGCCCGAGGTACTTCAGGGCTGACAGTGCATGATATCACGTGGTGCTAACGCCCAAGCCTGCAGCTGCTGACCCAGTCTAATTCGAGACCATGTCCGTGCCTGCTGCTGGCTTATGGGCCCATTCCGTAGCTCCGAGACGGCATAAAAGGTCACATGCTCTGGACCAACTGGATTTTCAAGACCATCTGTCCAAATCTGGACTTTTCGAGAGAGATCCAGGATCATGAGAAGAGTGCCTTCACTTTGGTGTCAGAAAGCCTGAGCTTACAGCCCCTGGCCCACCATGTCCCAGCTCTGTGGCCGAGGGCAATTCACTCCACCTCTCTGGTCCTCTGTTTCCTCATCTATAAAACAGGGATTCATAAAATAACAGAGGGGTACATGGGATGACACACAAGTGCCCAGCACAGGCAGTCCCTGGCACATTGAAAGGTCTCAAGCAAGCACCTCTTCTCTCCCCTACAGACAGTCTGACATCAAGTCCATGAAATCAGCCACTGGGGTTAACATGGACATGGACCTGTTTCTCCACATCAGTGCATATCAGCTTCCATATTGGTAAAGAATGCTCTGAAGCAAGAGACCCGGAGCTGGAAATATCTATCTGAGCAACGTCACCAACCGGAAGTAGAAGCAACAGTTCAGATGAGACAAATGGTCGACCCAGTGGACACACCGGCATTCGAGGTCAGCTGGAAGACAGGAGACAACAGCTGAAGACCAGAGAGAGTGGCTAATGTGACAGGAAATGTGTGGACACCACAAAGAGCACTAGGAAGAGAAGGTCTAGCACATGCTCAGGACACTTGGCTTGGCTTTTGGGAGGTCCCGTATCACAGGGCAAGCGATGGGGGGTGAAGGTGGCGGAAACACTGTGGTAGGCGAGTGAATGAGCTCAGAACAGAGGGAGAGTAAAAAAGACAACAGTTCAAAAGCCAAAGCCAAGGGGGTCAAGGAATAATGTCAAGACAGGGAAGATCTTGGTTCGTTAAAATGCTGCAGGAAGAGAAGGAGAACAGACAGTGACAAAAAGCCATCAGGAACCTGGGGTTTTGTTGGATCCACATGTGGAAACCAACGTCCAGGCCATGGTGATGTTGGTGCAATCCTTCGCAGGGGCTGTTGGATGAGCTTGCACAACTTTGACTCAGGAGTGAAAAAGAGCAAGGTCAGGGCAGTAAAGGGCTCCAGCAACCCTGGGACAGAGTGCTGGTCCTGGGACCACCAGGCGATCCATGGATTCCTCCTGGGCTCCCAGTCTCCAGCAGCGTACTCAGAGCAGGGGAATGGAAAGGTGGAGAATCACTACATTAGCCACATGATCCTCAGAGGACAGTGAGGATGAAGTCCAGTCAGGAAGGTGGACGCTATCTCAGTTCTCCTCTGAGAACAGTGAAATACCATGGGGGATGTGAGGGACGGCAGTCTTAGGAGGAAGAGCAGAGAACCTGAGACTAGAGGCAAAAGCTCAACCCTCTGGGGTTCCATAGCCATAGTGGCTTTGACTAATATCTATCTTGTCCTTCGCAAAATGCTTTCACAGACAGCATCTGAATTTGGGGGAGAATTAGTCCCATTTTGCTGAATTGAGAAACAAGTTCCAGAAAGTTCAGTGGCTTGTTCAAGGCCATGCAGCTGGAGATGGCAGGGCTGGGACCCAGCCCCCTATTTCAGGGTTCATGGTCCAACTACGTCTCCCCACCCAGGGAACTTCTGAAATCAACCCAAGAAAACACACATTTCTGAAGCACCCTGTGTCCTAGGTGCTGTTCTAAGGCATGAATGATGACTTTTATGAGTGGTAGAGGTGTTAGCTGTTTGGCAACACCCACCCCACACTCCTTTATTGCAACAGGACTCTG